TCTCCAAGAAAGCAGAGGTTGGGGGAGGGGTGGTCAAATGTTAAATGTGATGAGTATGAGTGATGTGTATAAAATCCTCCCCCGGTAAATTCCCCCAAAGCATATTGTTTTAGTTTTCCAATTTACCTGATCAAAAGCTTTTTCTGGTTTTAGTGAGACTAAAGGCACGTTCACACCAAGTACTTTTCCCACAATAGTTCATGAGAACTCAGTTCATGAGAACTCTTTTAGTTCTGATGAACTAAAGCAGATCGCGTTCACACCAAAATGAGTTCCTGGGGGTGGATTAGGCAAATGAACCGCTGACGTCACTTCTTCTTCTTCTGCTTTGGGTTTACTGGTAGGCCGCAAACAACTTCACGGCGAGTACAGTAGGTGGCGGTATGCACCTTAAAGTTGCAATCCGCCAAAAAAACAAGAGAAAAAGAAGAAGAAAAACCTCCCGCACCCACTTGCTGTATATGAGGCGTCTGTTTACCTTCCGACCTCAGACATGAGCTTCGTCTGAGTTTTTTAAGCAAACACAAATACAGATCGTCGACCAGTCAAATGCAATAGCAATGCTGATTCGGAAGCGAAGGCGGTTAAGAAGGATTGACAAAAGGATTGGACGACGACATGCACGCGCTACGCTACGTGTGAAATGAATAAACTGTGCCAGGTGTGTCGTATGCACACTAAATAGGCTCAGCAGCTAACACACCTTTATTATATATCCTCCTGAGAGCAACTGCATCCGTCTGCCATGAACCCTACAGAAACCTACATGTTAGTTGTGGCCCATAGTGGCCTCCATTTGTGTCGTGTAAAATGGGGGAAATCAAAAGTTAGCAAATCCCCATGTTCATAAAAACATTTAGTTTTAGGTCAAATAATTATTACACTGCTCTGAAACTCACTACACTAACTCCTAAGATGTTCCCTTACTATAATTAATTAAAAATATTGAACTCACAACACTGGTAATAACAAACTTAACCATTTCTCTTTCTATAAATAAATAGTGCTTGTGTTGGACGCCATTTTGAAATACAATGAAATTATCTTTTTGAAAGCCACAATAAATAAAGCTTCGCCAGTTTATAACCCATGAAACCTGATGGTATCAGAATAATCACTTACATGTGATGTATAGGATGCTACACAGGTCACTGTAAAGATAAAGTGTCAGAGGAGAAATAAGCAAGCTTAGTTACATCATGAAATGTAATGAAACATGTATGCATGTAAATAGAAGTTAACATTTTCAATATCAAATAAAGTGTCAGTATCAAAACATATATATATATATAATAACAATATAATAACAATAGGTAGGCTCAGCAGCAGACACACCTTAGTGCAAAGTGAAGTGTCATTAATAACAGTGGCATATATATAATCGCAATAATACACAATTAACTGTCCCAGGTGTAGGCAATTTGGTGTTTTATAACTGGAATATTACAGTTATTATTAACTTTGTCTGTACAAAGTAGCCTGTCCAGGAAATATGCCCAAATCAACAAAAACTGCGAGCCGGCAGGCAAGACGCTCCGCTTCTGAAACGTGCCTGGTAGGGTATGACGCCGGAGGAGGCCGGACCAAAACCGCAACGCGGCGCAGACGGACCCGGTGGAATCTAGGGGTAAGAGTTAGACCTAACACACTTAGCTATTTTATCTACCTCTGGAACAAGCTAAACTAGTTATAAAAGTAATATATTATTTTACTTTAAAAAAAAAAAAAAAGTAATATATTACACTACTTCGTTACTCTCTACATAAAGTAACTCGTTACTTTACTCGTTACTTTACTCGCAGGGCCGGCCCGCCCCTCCCTACAGGCAGATCACGCAGACTGCGGCGCACCTACAGTGTAAGCGCGCCATAGTTTTGCCTCTGCGAGACTCCACTTGCACCCCCAATTACTATTGCAATAAGGAAGACATAACACAAGTCTTTCTTTTTATATGCTCTTTAATAAAATAGGCTACCAGCCTACCACAACAAGCTTGCAAGACAGCTTAGCATGTGTTCTTTGCAGGTGTTTGTTGAGGTTTGACGTGGTGTTTACAGCAGTGGATAACAGCTTCTGGCCTGGACACAGTTTGCACCTCACCGTCACATTCCTGTCTATTCTTCGGACGAACTCAAAATAATGGGCATACCTCCACCCCTCGAAAGTTATCGCTGACTCAGCCATGTTTATGCAGCACTGCACGTGGAGATGTGGACGCGCAAGTCCGGCAGATTACGTACATATAAACCTGCGGTGGAAACCCCACTTGTCTGTCAGTGTGATTATGACTGATTTTATAAAAGTAACGGAGTAACGCGTGTCGGGGCAATGTTAGTAACTGTAGTGTTTATTTATTTAATCGTTTATTTGGCAGGGACAATGCACAGTAATGAACACTTAAAACAGTCAAATGTATCAAGCGTAACAGTGCCAGATTTAGCTTTGAGCTAATCTCCATCCGCAGTCCCTTACATTAAACATTTAAGAAAATTACATTTTACAAACACAGCAAAAACAAAATACATGATATGCAAAAAGTGCAAAAGAGCAAGAGCAGCATGTACACAAGTATTTACCACATGGCAGTACAATGTAGCAGCTACGACATATAAAGTGCAAGAGAAGATACAAGTGCTACATGAAGTGCAAGAGGAGATACCCCTGTGTTAAAGTGCATTTAGCGGTGATTGCACGTCTGTTTGTTTCTCAACCATTCTTTGAGTTGACCTTTGACGCTATTGAGAGTGGGACAATCCCGTATCTCAGTTGGGAGGCTATCCAGAATGAGCTGCCTTTAACGGAGAGGACATTTTGACCAAAAGTGGTCCGTCTATGGTGTGATTACTGAATTATAAAAGTAACGCGTTACACTACTCCGTTACCGACAAAAGTAATATTATTACAGTTACTTTGTAACGCGCTACACCCAACTCTGCTGTCGGGTCACTCATTACTGGATCAGCGAGCTGCATGAGATACTGACGGGCTGTCAGGGGAGGGAGAGAGGAAAAGAGAGCGCTTCCGCTCATTTCTCCCGTGTTATTATCCAAAGTTAATGTAAACTTGAATAATGTACTTCATTTGAATGTAATAATTATGTTGGTTGTTGTTTGTGGAAGCTCCAGTGAATGAGCCCCATTAACTGAGTTTTAAACATCACTTTAAATGGAAGATCCCCATAGGCCCCGCCCACTTGATCGGATCGGCGATCGGTATCGGCCGATACTGATTCCGGTGATTGGCGATCGGCCCCAAAATAGGTGATCGGAGCATCCCTACTTATTGGATAAGTGTCTTCCTTTAATGAAGCCTGTTTGGTCTGATTGGATAACAAATCAGATCACTGTTTCGATTAATGTAAGGGCTTTGCATATTATTTTTTTATTTGTGTTGATAAGAGATAAGGGGCGAAAGCTTGGTTGCGAGACGGCATTAACCCAAAGACACTGATCAAGGGTTGTCAGCCAGACGAGAGGATGTGTGTTTTTGTCACACAGATTATAATTCCAGCCTTCCAAGTGGGGCGGGCAGGGATGATGTTTTTTCACAAACCGACCGGGTTAGTATCGAAAGGGCTCCCTCGGCAAGAAGCAATGAGATTTTCACACTGGATTTCAGAATATTGTAGAAAATAAGATCTTTGGAAAACTAATTTAGTCACTTTTAAGCAACTGTAGGTTTTTTTTGACACTCCAGACATTCTGATGTATTGAACAAAGTGTGGAAATCTCTTCAGCTTGTTTTAAACCCAGATCTATTAGTTTTACGTAAAATACCAAACACAATTGACTTCGAGCTGAGAGAACATAAAATGCTGACTCATTTCCTGGTTTTGGGATTCATTCCTGCACCACTTTATTAGTACCAAATATAAGTTATACGGCAGTTATATTTGGCAATAGAGTGATAAAGCATGTGTGAAATAACTTAGGATGAAGGCAATTGTACTCTTTTTACTCAGTATTTTATTACTTTTTCAGGTCTCCCTTGAAAAAGAGATCTATGATCTCAATGGGACCAATCTGGTTAAATAAAGCTTTGAAATGAAATGAAATGACTATATTTATATTTTCTTTTTCAATAATGGCATTTTTTTTTTAACATATGACAAATAAAAAAAAATTGTAACACAAGCCCTGCTGCAATCATGTTTGGCTGTTTGTTTAATACAGAGCCACCTGCAGGATCTTTCAGAGAGGATTGTGAACTACAGTCAGTAAGGGACTGTCTGATTGGCTGCCTGCAGGGGGGCTCCAGCTGATTGAAACTTGTCTGCTCGATACTGAGGAACCAAAGTCCCTCTCCACCATAAAGGTGTTCCTTTACCTCCGAGCTTCACTGCAAAATAATATCCGTGCAGTGTTTGATCTCAGTACTTCATTTTCCGTAGCCGAAATTAAGTACTTGATACTATACCAGTTTAAATGTACATGTTTCTTGAAACCAATTTAGTTCGACATAACAAAACAAAGTATTACATCCCATATGCTTCAACATACCCTCCTGTATGACAGTTTGCATACTGTGTTCTGTTCAACAGGTCATAACTCTACCTATTCTATCAATATATACTTTTTTTTGCTTACTAACCCGGGGGGGAGTGTGGGAGAAAAACTCCCTCTGGAGGGAACACAGGGATTGTAGCCTTTGCAGACCATTTAAATGCATAAAAACCTATTGAACACACTACAGGAAAGGGACCCCCTCCCAAAAAAAATTATAGGGCCTCTTTAAATGTATGATTAGAGGCTTGAAAAGCAAGAGGCTGAACCCCCCTAAAAATATTCCTGGTTCCTTCTATCCATGTGTAGAGTGTCTTAAAAAAAGTAACCTAAATGAAACCCAAGAAACGTTTTCTGAAATGTGACACCCTGTTAAAAAGCTTCCAGACTTTAATTTGACCTTGTTTTCACCTTGGATTGACATGATCTCTTCTGATCTGGATTTTAAGAGGCCTGTTTCTGTTGTTATTATTTTTTAACTTGATTTTGTCTCCCCAGCTGTTGCCATGACAACAGACGAGGCAGAGAGTCACCAGAAGAAGCCGAGGCAACAGGAGGAAGCCGGGCAGGAAGCAGGGTCTCCCCCCCCGGAGGAGGAGCAGCTCCGGCCTCGCAACCGCAACTCTGCCGGCCGCGGCCTCTCCCGCCTCTTCTCCTCCATCCTGAAGAGGCGCTCGCAGTGTGACAGTGAGGCGGGAGAGAAGGAGGACAAGGAGGAGAAGGAAGCCAAAGCCCCCATCGCTGACCCCGAGCCTGAGCTGAGGACGGAGGGGGAGGGGGCCCCGGACCGCCACTCCATGAGCAGCGCCGATGCTCAGGTCAGCTGCACACACACCTGTGTTTGATCACTAACTCGTATTATTTACACACTGATGACTTTAAGTCTTTTACATTGTATCTTTTAATCCCACATCTTCAGCATGTTGTGTACTCGTGCGGAACTCCCACACATTGTGAAGGAGCTACGAGACAAACGCATAGTCTGATAGATGGATAAATAAATAGATAGATATATATTTAATGATCCAAAGTTGCTAAATTGTTTAATCGAAGCAGCATTTTGACAGTCAATTTACAAGAATTACAAAATGTCTTTAAAAAATAGAATAAAAATACAAATAAAATAAAGATTAGAAGTAGAAGTATCTCTATATCATTTTCAGAATAAATTAGAATACACTCTAATATACCAATCTACTAAACATATATACATAGAGTACTATATACATAACGTTTTTTTAAATATACAGTATAGTAGAAGTAGTAGTATTACAGTATGTGAAAATTGTTAATGCTTATAGAGGGGAGAACCTGAACACACGATGAAGCAGTGAGTTCTGTTGCAGGAATCAGAAATGAGTCAGAAAGCCCGTAAATTAGTTAGCATTTTTATGTTTTTTTGGTTACATACCTAAAATCAAATCTGTGCTTAAGACAAGCTGAAGAGATTTTAATGTTTTGTTCGATGACATAAAATATGTCAGTAAATATCCCACTGATGAATGTCTGAAGCTTCAATGTGTCATGAAAATAGCGGTTGCCAACAAGTGGCTAAATGAGACTAAACGACCAAACACAAGTTATGTGACCGTGATGTAGTTTGTTTTTTCCCTAATCTAAACATTTTTAATTTCTAATGATTGCATTTACACTTCCGAAATCATAAAAAAGGTGTTAATTCAGCCTACAAAAATACATTTTCACTTCACCACTATTACTGGGAACGCATGGTTTGTTGCAGGACTCTCTGACAGTCCAGGGGGCGTATAAGCAAACAATCTGTGAAGAAGATAGAAGTGTTAATGAAATAACTCCAAACCCAATACCGCTCCTCGATGCAGAGAAGGAACTGTAAATAACTGTAAACTCATATCAAATATTCATAGACTTTATCACCTCCACACACTCCCTGTGAAGAAGGGAGTCAAACAATGTGATTCTTCTGGCAACAAATGAATAACTCCAATGTAGAATTTTAAGTTCTCCTATTTCAGCATTTGAAAACTGCTTTTTAAGATTCTTGAGACATATGAAACACACTAATACATTAGAACTATTTGCATTTATTAGTATTCTGTGGCATGCATATTTGTATTGATAATGAGATAATGTCCTGTTCCCCAGACCTGTGTGTTTAAATGAGACCCGTCTAAAGAGATGATTAGAGATGGACTACAACCATGGAAGGTGGTGCGTTAGTAATCGTAGTCCTCAGCGTCACTACGTCAGTGAGCTGTCTGTAACCGTCTCTACAGGGTCTGTTCCCCATGGTAACAGCAGCTGAAATTACAAGGAAATGAAGCATCATGTGTTGTGCTGTTGTAGCGTTGATCTGATTCCTGCTGTGTGTGTGAGCCTCCCACCCACTACATCCCCACACAAAGAAGTATTGGGTTAAGGCTCGAAACAAATCATTATTCATTTAATAAAAGTGGTATTTTCAAAATGTGACAACATTTATGGATGAAATATAGGTATCCGTTGAAGAATTGATCATAGCAGCGAGATTCTAAACATTACCATGAAGGCACACAGTTGACCTTGCTTGATGTCTTTAGTAAAACACTCATGTTTCATCAAAGGCTCATTATGAACAGAGTGTACCCTGTACTGTCTGTCAGGCTGCGCAGGTAGAGAAGAAAGAGGCCGAGGAGGAAGAGGGTGGAAAGGACAAAGAGAACAACAAGGAGAAAGAAGAGGAGGCTGCGCTGGAGAAGGAGGAGAAGGAGAAGACGGAGGAGAAGGTGGAGGAGAAGGAGGAGCAGGAGCGTGGGCCTGAAGGAGGCAGTAAGAAAGACGAGGAGGAGAAGACCGCCGAAGAGCATGCCGAAGCTGCCAAAGCTCCTCACAGACCCAGGACCATGCAGATCAAAGTCAACCTGCTGGACGACGCTCTGTACGAGTGTGAGCTGGACGTAAGAGCATCGTTTTATTCTATCAGACTACATTTCATCTGCCAAAATGATTGAATTGTATGCAGCCACATGCTTTTGATGAAAGTGTTGGGGCTTCAGTCTGTGTGCCAGCTCATAGAGTCCTGCTGTGAACCTGGACATGTGGAGTAACATGAAGTTCTATGTTAGAAATGTATAGTAGGGTCTCCAGCACATAGAACTGCCGGATGCTAGCTTGCATATGATGGGCAATTTGCACAATTGGTATAAGTTGCATTAATTACCATTATAGCATATGCAGACAAAAGTTTAAAAAATGCTTCGCCGATTTGGACAGTTTTGGAGGTTATTGACAATTATTCTGACAATTTCAGGGAAAAAAAGGCAGTTTTAACCAGAAAGTGGCCATGTTTGTATTTTGGGTCCATTTGAAAGTTTTAGTCGACTCAAAACTCGAAAGAAAATTACCGTAAAATGTCAGAAATGGATTCAACATCCTCAATATACCTAAAAAACCACACCAAAATTGTCCAACTCGGCCAAGCCATTTTTAAACAATTGTCTGCATATGCTAATTAATGCAACTTATGCTATTTGTGCAAATTGCCAAACATGTGAGTTAGCATCCGGCAGTTTATATGTGCTGGGGACCCCTACTATACATTTCTAACAAAAAAAGTAGACTAATTACCAAGTTTTATCAAGTAAGACAAAGTTACAAACATTAAAACGTAAAAAAATACAAAGGTTATAGAGCAGTAGTTGTTACACCAGGTTTACTTTTATTCAACCTCGGCTCATTTGAGACAAAAATGTTCATGCAAGCATTTTCAGAGATGTGAAAGCCTCACATGGTTGGAGGCAGACATTTCAGAGACTGATATCTCCAAATCTGGACCAATTAAACCAAAACTGTCTGCATGGGTGCATACCACCAGAGGGATGGGAGAGAATGTTAGTTTGAAAAGTTTCTAAGTGTTGTTCTGTGAGTAAAGTATTAGCCTACAGAATAGAACAGTTTACAGAGAAGAGACAACATCTGATCCTTTTACAACAAACACTATGATCTTTTTAGGTTTTACTTCACTTCCCGTCTCCAAACCCAATGAGGAATGTCTTAAATCTCTCCTCAAACTTTCAACTAACCTCAGTGCAAAACCCAATACTAATTTCACGCCTAATATTCTGTCTTCTTTAACACTAATCTGATAAACCATCATCTTTGTAGTAATCATATTCTTTAGAGGTCCTGGAGGAACATTTGAAATGCTCAATACGGACCACCACCAACTTCATGAAGCCAGCAGACAGATTCTGTAATGTTTGCGTGTGGCTCTGCTTCAGTTCGTACCTTTTTACCCACTCAGTGTCTTGTTCCTGTATTCATGTGTCTCAGAAACATGCAAAAGGCCAGGAGCTGTTCATGAAGGTGTGCGACAACCTCAACCTGCTGGAGAAAGACTACTATGGACTGGTGGTGTCTGAGACGGCCACAACCAGGGTGAGCTGGATTTTAACCAGTAGAAGTTAAACAATCCCACCTCATGATTGAATTAAGAAAAGAAAGGGCAACTCTTTAATGTACATGTCATTGATGGTTAGATTTGCCTCAGTTTGAAAGGACTGAACATGATCCATGATATCAAACCTCATGCCCCATCCCTCATTTTTTTTATCAGACCTGGATGGATCTTACCAAGGAGATCCGCCGGCAGGTACCGGGTGAGTGGAACCTCAACCACAAACAAACCTTCTGTTCTTACTTTTATCTTGACAGATATTTGATCACATCTTCATTTTCTTTCTTAGGTGCCACCTATAATTTCAACTTCAATGTGAAATTCTATCCACCGGACCCAGCCCAGCTATCTGAAGACATAACAAGGTACTGCACACCTCAAACTGATGAATAAAATAATATATTATTATTCTCCAGATGACAGGATAATGTTAGGATAGGAAGACAGTGCACAGGGTAATCTGTGGTCGAGTGCATGTTTTCAACAGTATCATCAGTAAAATAACTCAGAGACAAACATTACAAAAATAAATGTGTAATTTATGCAACATATTAGTGATTTTAGCCTGATTGGAATACACAGAAATATCTGTCTCATGGTTCCCTGGTCTTGAAGTTTTTTTAAACATGTTTTTGGTTATATGCCTGAAATAAGGTCTGTGGTTAACACAAGAGATTTTAACGCGTTGTTTTACAACATTACACTTGTCAATAAATGTCTGAAGCTTCTCTGTGTCTTAAAAACTGTGTTGGCTGAGAAGTGACTAAATGAGACCTTTAGCTTAGCATGCATGTATTTGTTTAAAGCCTTTATTGCCTTTAGGTAAAACAGCCTTAACATTTCATTTATATGGTTTCCTCCCCTGCTAGCTTGCGCCGCTTAGCAAAGCTGTCATCTGGTTGGTTGCCAAAAGGTCTGCAGTAACTGAGGTCAAAGTAGTTTGAACTTTAAGCGCAGCACTTTGGGACAATTTGCAGCGATGAAAAACACCCAGGGTGGCGCTTCTGCCTACTCTCCATAGAAACACAACAGCAACACCAGCTCAATTCTAAAATCCAAAGGAAAATCCCATAGCTTTTTGTTGAGGGAGCCCTTACTATGCTAGCATCAGGGTCGGTTCATCCCTGCACCACTGAAGGAATCAAACATATTGTAATCAAATACAGGGGCGTGTTCACATGAGAGATAATTCAGAACTCAGAGCTCCCCACTGAGATCATGTGACCCTGCTGCAGGTACTACCTGTGTCTCCAGCTGAGGAAGGACATCCTGCAGGGACGCCTGCCCTGCTCCTTCGTCACGCTGTCCCTGCTGGGATCCTACGCCCTGCAGTCGGAGCTGGGCGAGTTTGACCCCGAGGTGCACCCCCCCAACTACGCCAAGGAGTTGAAGATGGCCCAGGGTCAGACCAAGGAGCTGGAGGACAAGATGATGGAGCTGCACCGCACATATAGGTCAGAACTCAGGGACACTTTCCTTACCTAATCAACTAAGTCAACGGATTTGTAAAAGAGTAATGTTGTACCCCGTATTCTACATTTTTCATCAAAAGGACATACATATCGTCTGCAAAATGCAACTAAGGTGTCCAAATGCAAGGTGAGGGAAGTTGAAAGCATTAATACATAGTGCAACATATTAAATTACATTTAAATACATTGTTGCTCCCTCCAGTAAATGACACGAGACTGAGGTCTTGATTTAAAATACGGGGTTTATTTCGTGGGACCTATTCCAACCCGTGAGAACTGGGTTATAAGACAGACAAATATAAAAGGTAAACAACAAATAAATATGTAATATCTGCATATGTCATCACTGTTAATGCTGCTAAATAAAACAATAAACGGCACACATCCCACACAGCATGTAGCACAAGCTAGCAATAGCATGTAGCACAAGCTAGCGCATAGCATACATACATACACACACATAACCTGCAGCTCAACCACACACAATTACACAAACAACCAGCACAAACACTTACCTCGTAGGCTGCTAGTCACCTAGAGGGACTGATCACTTTAGCTGCATTTTTCCCTTAGTTTCCTTAGTTTTTCTTTAGCATCCTGCGTTGCTCTGCAGTTGCAACTAGCAAGTGCGTCGATTAAACAAACAGGTGTAACACAAAACAACGCAGATTAGTTCCGCCTCTATTGTTGTTACACATAAAAAGGTAGGAACCAAAAATACAATGTGGAACAAATGAACAACAGAAAGTGAAGACGGTTACACTCCCACCAAATCACCTGGTTTGTTTTCAGAAACATTTTTAGAAAACCAATGTGCTCTTTATAACATTAATGTAAAACAAACTATTTCATTTTAGACTTAAGTGCAGAGTGTGAGTGAGAGTAACTGTACAGAGTTTTAGCCTGCTTCCAACAACAACACCGTCTTGTGGATAGGCCTTTCGAGGTAGACAGGTTTAGCGAGGTGCTTTCCCTTTCCATCCAGAGTAGAGTCGCTGATAAGCAGCTTGAGCCTTCTCACTCTTCCATCCCCTCCTGGGTACACTTCCACAACCCTGGCCAGCTTCTATAGAGAACCGCAGTGACGCGTCCTAAAACCCGGAAGTAAGTTAGCATTTTTACCACGTCCGGTTCCTTCGACAAAAAGCAATGCAATTTCTCCATAGGATTTTGGAAAATAGCTGTAAATAAGGTCTGTGTTTGACACAAATTGAAGAGACAGATCACGTTTTGTTCTACAACATTAAATACATCAGCAGTTACCCCGCTGGTGATTTTTGAAGAGTTTACGTGTCTGAAAAATGATGGTTGTTACCAAGTGGCTGAATAGGACTACAGAAGTTGTCCAGGCCGTTTTACGTCATTACACCGAACACGTAAAACACTCCCGCTAAGTTTGTTTGCCCTGTTCTGCTTGAAAGCAAGTACCTGCCCCCTGCAAACTGTTCAAACAAACGCTTCAACTTGTACCATTTAGAATCTGTATGTTTGAATATGGACCTTAAGTTGGCGTGACGTTGATGCAGCGACCCTGCTGTAGTTCGTTTATAGCATAACGTTAGCATTTTGCTTCTGGCGACTAGGTTTATGATTCGAAAATTATAGAAGTAGGGTAGACATGTGGATATTATCCGGCTGAACAAAACGTGATCCGTCTCTTAAATGTGTGTCAACCACAGAAATTGCATTGCGTTTGTGACGAAGGAACCGGAAGGAGTTTACTTCCGGGTTTTAGGACTGCTGTTCTCTATTGGCCACGTGGTATAGTGTTGTCTTGCAGAATGACAACGTAATTTACCTTGACGTTTCTGCGGTCCTTGATCCACTTTGGTCTTTGTTGGAGATTATAGGAGGTACTCCTTATGCTGCTGAAGGCACTTTATTTCTTGAGAGAGTGTTGCTTCTTGAACCATCTTGATTATTGTCAGCTCTGCTTCTCTCCTCTCCTCTAAGCTTGTGGCTTCACAGGAACTTGGCTGGAGACCTTTAATTTCCTTTGCAAGGCGCTTGAGTCTGGCAAAGGCTTTAACCACTCTTGACCCGTCTGAGAACTTGTGAAAGTGATATAGTAGCGACTTTACTTAGTTTGCCTGGGTATCATGAACCTGGGCCTTCTTAAGCTCTGGGTCACTACTCACGATCTCTCCCACTTTGACTTCTCCACTTGGTAGCTCTTTCTGCCAACGTAGGTCTGGGCCTGTGAACCAATTTGAGGCTTGAAGTTGCTGTGAGACCTTTGGAGGCCTGATCTGCAGGGTTATCTTCAGAAGCCCTTTCCACAAAGTCAGATTCCAGCACCTCGATGACATCTGCAGGTGAGACTTCCTTAATCTGTGTTCTACAGACGTAGTGTACTTCCCTTGGGAGGTTTGAAGACTGGAGACCTGGTATCACTTGCTTCACGGTTACCTGGTGATTTACTCCAATCATATCTCCAATGTCGAGACAGGGATTGCCAAAGCCGACAACACTCCAGCCCAAATCTGTTCTCTGTGCAAAGGGCTGGTGTTCTTCACCAGGCACCACTTCTCTTGGGACGAGAGCTTGAGGACAGTTGTAGCCGATAAGCAGGCCAATATCACAGCTTTGCTGAGGAGCGATCTCATCTGCGAGGTGTTCAAGATGAGGCCATGCCTTTGCAGTCTCTGGTGTGGGAATATGGTCTCTGCTTGCAGGGATGAATTCTCTTGAGTATGTAACACTTCTTATCTTGGGCTATGCTATCTGACTAGAAAGATTCTGGTTTCTACTAGAGTGGATAGACAGGTAAGTAATTAGACCAGAGACCAGGTGGTTTGAATAGAACAGCCGGCAATTTACTGACGAAATAGACAAATAGACAAAACATTAAACATAGACAATAATAATAATAATCCTTATATTTATTATAGCGCTTTATCAATGACTCTCAAAGCGCTTTACAAATACACATTACACATACAGATCATACATACATGTAATGGTCATCTACTGTGGACAATACCCACAGGAGCGAGTTCAGGTGAAGTGTCTTGCCCAAGGACACAATGAATATTTTCTGCAGTATGATCAGAGGTAAGTATTTCACCTTTCCCTTGTTTTCTGATTTCTGTGACTTAGTAAATGGTATCCATACAGGAATAAAATAAAATAGCCTATTTTAGTTTAGACCGGTCTACTAAGTATTATTTATAGGTTGTTCCTATTTTAATCTCTTTAATATCCTGAGTTAACTCTTTTTCTTTTCCCTTTTCACAGGTAAAATATATCTAATTCAATGAAAAAACACAATTGTACCATCAATGAAATCATATGACAAATGAAAACCTAGAGTACAATATATAGTGTCTCTTTCAATCCAGGTACAACTTAAATCCAGTTCCAACCTTATCATTTCTTCAGTTCTGATCAAATAAAATAAACTCCAACACTCCTACCACTCTGGCAGCGAGTTCCCTATTGTCTCTTGAGAAACCAGCTAGTCCTCCCACACAGCATGTAGCACAAGCTAACAATAGCATGTAGCACAAGCTAGCGCATAGCATACATACATACACACACATAACCTGCAGCTCAACCACACACAATTACACAAACAACCAGCACAAACACTTACCTCGTAGGCTGCTAGTCACCTAGAGGGACTGATCACTTTAGCTGCATTTTTCCCTTAGTTTCCTTAGTTTTTCTTTAGCATCCTGCGTTGCTCTGCAGTTGCAACTAGCAAGTGCGTCGATTAAACAAACAGGTGTAACACAAAACAACGCAGATTAGTTCCGCCTCTATTGTTGTTACACATAAAAAGGTAGGAACCAAAAATACAATGTGGAACAAATGAACAACAGACAGTGAAGACGGTTACATACATGTTATAACTGTTTTTAAAAGCCAATACAAATAAATCAAACTAAACTAGAATAAGACAGGTATGAATACATGGATGAAAGTGCAGTGTAAGCAGCAACAAAGAAAAGTCTTCGAAAGTACATTTAAATTTAAAGGCAACTAGTAAATATATCTGTAAGATAATGTAAATGTGGTACAGTACCTCAACACATTTTAATACAAGTTAAGTTGTGTCTACTTGTTATAGAAATATGTACAAAATGACATCACATTTAAAAATGTATTTCACTTCTGACTAGACACTGAACAGAACTAACTGCATCTAATAATGAATGTATTATGTATAAAGTGGACATTGGAGGACACTGGAGGGTTGTCGGTTAAGGTCCTGGAAGGGACCAAGTACGGAGCATATACTGGTACTTAGAGGGTTAAATGCAGAGTCTACAGTACCTTTCACATGTGTGATGATTTAACAATGATTCAATTGAGTCTGAGCTTCTCCGGTTGATTAGTTAGACCTGTTTAAGATAACGGGAATGTCAATGTGAATTAAACAAATCAGAGCCAATATTGATATCGCAGTAACTAAAGCTGTTGTGGTGTTGGGCAGGTCGATGAGTCCGGCCCAGGCAGACCTGATGTTCCTGGAGAACGCCAAGAAGCTGTCCATGTACGGAGTGGACCTCCACCAGGCCAAGGTGAGTCCGAGCCCCACCTGCTGCTCTTAATCCTGAATAAATGCCTAGTTGTAAGTTATCTTTGTATTCCATGGTAACTTTAGATTTAAGTTTCCTTCATTGATCAAATAAAACACTTAATCTGGGTGTGACTGTGATTCAGCCTCCCAACGCTCCATGAAAAAAAAGGGCTTAAAACAGAGAACATAATGTGTTTGCAGCTTCGTCTTTTAGTATTTTTAATGCCGTGCATCAGAGAAGCATGCACTCCTGGCCCGAACAGCAGGAAGACATGTGACTTGTGAGGTTTTACAGCTGAAATCAGGTCAATCTGTTTACGTCAGAGCAGGGATTTAACCACACACAGGGAGGACTCTAACTGGGACGATACTGCCCCTCTGTGAGCCATGCTGAGCATCACAACACAACCACTGGAGGTACAAGAAGTGATCATTATCATTAGTACATTAGATTACATTAGATACATTAGATTACATTAGATACATTAGATTACATTAGACATGCCTTATTCATCCCACATTGGGAAATTATTTTGTCACAGCAGCAGGAAGTTAACAGATATTACACGAGTTAAAAATATGGAGAACATTTTGAAAATACAAATAGAATAAAATAAAAGATACACATAAAAAGTAATCGTATACATATCAAAAGTAGGACAGATTTCAATAGAGTATCTAAACAATAAACAATATTTTTGTTTAAATCTGAATACATTTGAATACTAATTAGGCCCACAGTGGCTTTCTTTATTTTGACAGGTTTTTTTGGATCTCTGATCTCCAAATCCACAGTGAAAACTAAACAAACACACAGTTTAAATGGCAAAAGATAGGACAATGTTACACACACAATAGCATGCACAGCATGTGAGATAACTTTAAGCAAAGTCAATAACAGTAAAATAAAGACAAACAAAAAACATTACCTTAATGCTGGATGCTGCAAAGAGGGAAGTCTTCTTGTGACCAGCAGACACTTTTACCGGAGCAAAGGTGTCGAGACGTGAGCTCGTGAATTAAAAAACGTCAATCTCAGAAGCTCCAGTTTCTTTACCAAAGTGATCCAGAATATATACAATTATTAGCTTTAGGGGACACAACAATATGAGGACAGCAGAGAGTCTACACATCTTGAAACTCAGACTGAAACTCCACCTGTTTTCACTGCAGCTTGGCTAATAAAAAAGTATATACTATATACAATTATTTGTGTACTGAGCTAATCTCCTTCGCAGGATTCTTCCTTGTTTGAGTTTCTATCTTCAAAGTTTAATACACATCTTGTTTTTGATAAAAGGCCTGCTAAAAGAAAAGTGATTTAATGTGTCTGTCCAATTCTTTGGTCTGTACCAGAGTTGGATGGACAGCTTTAACAGCCCTATTGCACAGAACCAAATAGGCAACACAACACAGTGTCTTTGAACTGAATCAAACTAGTCAGGTGTGATCGTATTCTAAAATTACATTTACTATCACAAAATATGGTGGTTTGTTTTGCTTTTATACTACAAACACGTTAAAACATTCTCGAAACTGGAGCTGGATCAACTACACAACCATTGGGATTCAGCCTCAAAGGGGGGGGGCCCTTTGAGGCTGAATCCCAATGGTTGTGTAGTTGGTTTGCTGAAAGAGTCTAACTGAACCCTCCCTGTGCCTCTTGCAGGATCTGGATGGGGTTGACATCATGCTGGGGGTCTGCTCCAGTGGTCTGATGGTCTACAAAGACAAGCTGAGGATCAACCGGTTCCCCTGGCCCAAAGTCCTCAAGGTGTCCTACAAACGCAGCAGCTTCTTCATAAAAATTAGACCATCCGAGGTACACAGCGTTATCACATCAATACATATTCAGAACATCTGCAGCTCATCCATGAGTACTCACATCTGATTTGATGAGTCATCTTCTAAGCATGTTTGTGTTCCAACAGGTGGAGCAGTATGAGAGTGCGATTGGGTTCAAACTGCCCACTTACAAGGCAGCCAAGAAGCTGTGGAAAGTGTGTGTGGAACATCACACCTTCTTCAGGTAGGGGACTGAGTTCTGAAAGTTTGTTCTCATGGCTGTCCAGTCTTTCAAGGGTTAACTGTGGAAATTGGGTAAGGCAGAACATATTTCAGGTTCAGGTTATATATTTGAACCGTAGGTAGGTTTGGTTTGCAGGTTAATAGAAAAGGGATCCATTATGACACATTCCAAAACAACATGCATTCCAAAACAACACAGACGACAAGACAAATCTCGAATAAACTATCCCCTGCTCCGTCACATCTGAAAACATTTAAAAACCACTAGTATAAACATGAGCAATCCAGAAAGTTAATGAATACATAAATAAATAGTCATTGTGACCATAGCAACTGTGTGAATTAGTCAATTTCTGCGATTGCTGCTGGAACAAAGCTTTTTTTTTAAACGCTAAGTTCTACACTTTGGGACTACTAACCTCCGGCCTGTTCGAAGGAGCTTGAATTCTGTGTTTAGAGGGGGGGGGGGGAGTCATAATTTAACATAGAGCTGGATAACCGCTGTAATGGCCTGAAGTTCAGGGTCTCCAGGTTTAGCTGTGGCTCACCTAGTCCTAGACCAATTCATGATCTGAGTGAGAGAGTTTCTGCTTGTTAAGGACAGGTGACCAAACGATGACAATAGGCGCTTTGTTCCGAAACAATAGTTCCGAAAATGTGCGTTCACACCAAAAAAATCTGGAACTAGAATTTAGTTCATGAGAACCTTTTCACCCCCTTTTCAGTCCCTGCTAGAGAGCAGGTACTTTCGTGGGAGAAAAAGGTTCCCATTTCTGATTGGCTGGGGGGATTGCAAACCACGCCCCGTAAAACTCCCCAAAAAGTTTTGTGAAGCCACCATTTTATTTGCTCGCATTAACATTATTAGCATTAGCCCAGCGCACCAACGGAGAGAGACTAACTTATGGCAACACAAAATAAAACGTGGGAGCGGTGGAGATGAGGATGTGTCGGCGTTCTGGCGATTTACTCGGAAGCCAGTCCCCAACTCTGGGGACTTCCGGCCGGGGACTCCGGGTGGCAGTATACGCCGTGAAGTTGTTTGCGGCCTGCCAGTAAACCCAAAGCAGAAGAAGAAGAAGTGACGTCAGCGGCTTCATTTGCCTAATCCTCCCTCAGGGACTTATTCCGGTGTGAACGCGATCTGCTCCTTAGTTCATCAGAACTAAAGAGTTCTGATGAACTAAGTTCTCATGAACTAAGTTCTCATGAACTAAGTACGGCAAAGTACTTGGTGTGAAAGCGCCTATTAGAGAAAAAGACAGAATTGACTCAATAAAAGCATGATAAAACATGATTATCATGGTTTAAAATAGGAGAGTTTCCTAAGACAGAACAAACGCTGGTGCCCCTTTTGCACACGGCTCCAATTTTATCAATAATTGTCCTGAGGTATTTGTATGGTTGCATTCATTCCAAAGTCAGATTAGAGGATGATTATGTGATGTTGGTGTGCAGGCTGACCTCCTCGGAGATGGTCACCACGCCCAGGAAGTTCCTGGCGTTGGGCTCCAAGTTCCGGTACAGCGGGCGCACGCAGGCCCAGACCCGCCAGGCCAGCTCCCTGATCGACAGACCGGCCCCCATGTTCCAGCGCTCCTCCAGCAAGAGGAACTCACGCAGCCTGGACGGAGGTACCCTGTGTGAGTGTGTGTGTCTGTGTGTGTTGGTCCCAGGTGGCCAGTTAGTATAACTTATTTCAATGTTGGTTTACGGATATATACTGTGATATATACAAAGACCCTGTGTCCACATGGCATCTTTTTCAGTTTTTTTCCGGATTCTATTACATTACATTACATATTACATGACCTTTCATTTATATTAGCTGACGTTTTTATCCAAAGCGACTTACAATATGGGCAGAAACCATAGAGATTTGAACTCCAAACAACAAGGAAAGTGCAGATAAATTAACTTCAAGCAAGTCATACCGTAGTAAGTGCTGGTGAATTAGTTACAAGGCCTATGACAACAATATCTTGACAATGTATCACAACTTTTATAATGGAGGATATTTTGGCTATTTGATATTTGTTTGACATTGCTCTCTTACCTCCCTTATCATTAAAGCCGACAGAAAGGTTCTTGCACTCACACTTATGAAGAAGAAATGGACTTCAAACACAAAAGTCCTCAGCATCAGAGAATTGCGTTCATAAATCCACAGGAAGACAGCATGATAAAATGGGCCAAGCATAAGTGATGGGCAGAGTTAACGTTTTTTTCGTCATATTTGCAGAGCATAATTCTTCTGTTAAAGTGACCACATTGTCTCACTCCCTCCTGTTCAGCCATGGCCTCCACTCCCGACAATAAGTCCTCTCGCCCGGTCAGCGCCCCCGTCATGTCCCCGGTGTCTCCGGGGGATGCCACTTCCTCTCCGATGCTGCCCCCCCTGCTGCGCTCCGACCACCGTGACGGCTCTACACTTAAAGGCCACCGCTCTGCACACAGGAAGGCGGAGGGGAAGGGGGAGAGTCAGCATGCGGAGCACACCAAGAGCCACAGACCAGAGTCCACTCCAGAGATCAAGGTAGCTCACACACTCCTCTACATCACAGCAAGGGCAGGTTACACGGTGACAATATATTTAGAAACCAGGGAAGAGGCCACAAGGAAGAGCTTATTAATAAAGAGATATAGATTGTTGTCAAAGTAAATATTATGTCATCAGAACAGGGCTGCACAATCTGGCAAAAATAATATTAAGACGCATTATTTTGATAGATATTGCCATTGTTATATAACTTTATAACGATATTAGAGGGAATAACCTTTTTCGAAAAATGTTTTCACATAATCATTGAATAATATATCAAAATGATCAATGAGGATCTGTACCAAACCAGGATTTCTTCATAGCCAGGGAATTCTCTTAAGCTGCCCAATAATTAATATTGAGTGGTATTTTTACATATTGTGTTTACTGTGATTAAGATTTTGCACTTTGCACATTGCGATTTTGATACAATTTAAATTGTGCAGCCATAGATGAAAATATATAATTTTCTTTATATACGTGCACACTGTATGAGTGTCAAGTCAGAAGTAGAGGAACCCTGAACAGAAGCCTGCGTCATCAGAAAAGATATTCCTTGTCTCTTAAGTCAGATAAAGTAACTGCATGGGAGCTACAGTTTCCGCAGCTCCTTGAGTTACAGAGAGGCTAACACAGGAGGCCCTGCTAGCTCTGAAGCTTGGTTAGCAAGTATTCTCCCTGTGTTAGCTTTAAAGTACGGTTTTTTGGGTTCTAATCCGTCCACTGTATTTATCCTCTCTTAGTAAGTACAAGCTAGTGGCCAAACTAACAAAACTAATTTTGAAATAATTCTTCATTGCTAAAGAATGTTGAACTGTCACATTAAGTGTTCATATGGAGCCTACTCCACTACACTACACTACACTGTTGTGTATGATGTGTTTTGATAGTTAGACGACAGAAGTGCGGTTAACTGTGGCTAACATAATGTAGCTGTCAGTGTAACACAAAGTGCATCCACCAAAGCTTTAAAGTTTCTTTTTTCTTTTATGTAAACAGATGTGTGTAATGTTTTAGCCCTGGTTGTACTTGGACTTGGTGTTGATGTGTGAGCTTTGTCTGTGCACCAGACATTCTCCAGGAGAGAGTGGAGGCACTCCCCCTCTGTGACCAACGCCAATGGGGACAGAGAGAAAAAGAGCCAGGTTTGTTTGCCTGAAGCATGCTCACACTGAACCAATTGGAACAGAATCTAAACAGACATGTATTCACAAAACATCATGCACTATGACTTGAAGAGTAAGAAAGGATGAAATAAGAAAGTTACTAAGTTATTCATGATATGTCCAATAAATGATCATATAGCTGTTTCTATTTAAATTGAATGCAGAAAGAATCAGGACTTCATTTAATAAGCCAGTTTTCTGCATCTGTTTTAATGCAAACTCAACACTTCTTCCATGCTGAGAAAGTCAGTATAATGTACTGTACATTTCCATAGCTGTAATTCAATCAATACAACAGTAGTTTTATACTAATTTCTCAGTAATTATCTCCAGTTGCTGATATTTTGCTGATTTTTTATCAGTTATACTACCATTGATGGAACACAACAGTTACTAAAAATAAATGTCACATTAAAAGTTCCAGTGGCACAAACTGAATATTTTGTCCCTTTCTTAGATCGAGTCAGCAATTTTGATATCACTACGATTAATGTAATGTATATCACAATATCAGTATATATTGTGGTGATACCTTTAGCTAAATCACATTTATGTTAAGTAATGGAAAAATGTAATATTGCCTAAAATCTCACCCGACTATTGATAAGCAATATTGTTTACAATGTCCTAAATGGTAGCTACCATATTATAAGCAGTGTGGTAAAACCTTTGATGGCTGACCAAATTATGCTGACTCATGGTTACGTGATATTACCCAGTCCTATTTCATAGAAATCTTTTAAAGTGACATTTTTGCAGTAAGTAGGTAGGTTGGTTTTACTGACAGTAGCTCAACACCAATCAATATCAAGTTACTCAAATTAAAGTAAATTAAAACAGTATACTTCCTTAAAAAATGTAATGCTAGAGTGATGTGAAATTAGCCTTTATTCACCAGGAGATATATTTGAATAGCTTATGTTTTTCTTTAAGAACTTTATTTGTTCATGTTATGAACACCTAGCCGGCAGTTTTATATTGGATTTGACTGGAGAATTGATGGTGCACAACTTGAATTTTATTGCATGATCATCAGTTTTTGACTAAAACAGAGTCAACTATTTAGCGAAGTCTTTCATACTTCCAAACCTGTATTTTTACTGAACAATACCTGAACATATGTGTCTTCCCTCGGTGGAGCAGCACTCTCCTAAGGACAAAGCAAAGACGGAGGTGGTGCGAGTGAGGAAGGTTAGCATGTCGCTGGTTCTGCCGTCTCACCATCGCATCCCTTTATCACTGATACATGCTTTTGTTTCCGACAGTGCTGCTTTCCACTGCAGAGCGCTGTAATCCTTTGATTGCTTTATGATTTCCGCTGCTTGTCTTTCTGTGAAGGCTTGTTCATGTCCAATCAGCTCTGCAAAAACTGGGAATAAGGAGAAATCAATCCATTGTGCAAAATATCATTTGGGGACTGTCACTCCATGCAGCACAACAAAAAAAGGCTTTTTCTTGTACACAACGTGCTTTCTCCTTCTCCAGAAGCAAACATGTCGCTATGATGTTTAAAAATAGCTTTGTAAGAGGGAGGACAGGTTTAGTTGTTACTTATCTCTGTTTAAGAAAAGCCTTTTCTGCTGAGTCATGCAATCCAGGATTTTGCATCAATTTTTTTTGTGATGATTGTGAACAAAGTTGGGAACAGGTTCCCTCTTTTCAAAGTCATTTTTTCCTTTAAATGTATTTTTGGCTAGATGCCTGAAGTAAGGTCGTCATTAACAAAAGTTTTCACGTTTTTGTTTTACGACATTAAATACATCAGTAAATATCTCACTTTGTGACATAAAAACAGCGGTTGCTCTAACAAATGAATAAATGAGACCACTAAACGTCATCATAAAACCTTAGCCGCCTTTAGCTTAGCGGTGGGGATGTGAAGTCATGTGACCGTGATTTAGTTCCTTTCTAGCCTGATGTTAGCTTTACACTTCTAGCGATAGCATTTATGCTTCAAATATCATAAAGTAGTGTTAATATGTGAAGATTATCCTGCTGATCAAAACATGATCGTATTGTAAACGTGTGTTTGCCACAGAGCTTACTTTCTGGAATATTTCAAAATCCAATGGAAAAATCCCTCTGGCTTTTTGTCGAAGGGAAACCTCAGAGGTATCTTCCAGGTCATTCTACAAAAAGACGTCATCACTGTGACACTCTAGTGGACTATGAACACGACTCCAAGTGAATGCTAATGTTGCTCTGTTACTGCTGGATGTGTAAATATGAAACTGTTTCAATGATTCAGTTTACCAGCTCTCAAGGTAAGACTATGCTGATTTAAATATGCCAGTAATGTCAATCGTGCACATATATTGAAATGTAAAAATAGTGAGATAAAAGGTGAATTCCTGAAGTGCCCTGCAGCAGCCTTTGCATGCAGCATGTGACTTCCTCTCACAGTGTGTATGGCTGGCTTCATGCACACCAGCTGTGTGTTTATCCTTACTTTCCCTCACTGAGCTGGGCACATTGGAACTGCTACCCCCATAGATCTGTTATTGTATGTGATTCATGTCATTGCCCTGGTCAGTGCTGCTCATTGCAAATGAAATATTCAAATGTTTGAATGAATTCTGCAATATTTCCAACCAGCTCTCCCCTTTTTCCTGATTTTCCACAGAAAAGAGCTAAGAAACTTGAGGGTGAAACTCTTTATATCAGACATAGCAATTTAATGTTGGAGGTTTGTATCTTCATTCTTCAGATCTCAGACTTGCCGTCACGTGTTCTGCTTGCATGGCTGCTGTGATTCCTTTTGCTTTGACACCAATGTTTCTTTTTTTTCTTTTTTTTGCCTTGTTTCAGCTTAACCCTTACCGCTTGGCATGCACTCTTTTTCTCTCTGATGCAAGTAGCTTCACTTCACTTAGACATTATTTTTGTTTTTCCATATTTCATTGTATAATACAGTATATGATTGGGAAAGGTCAAAGTTGAACCTGGTACTGCAGCTTGGCTGTTGGGACTGGACTCACAACACAATGCTGTTGCAGTTGAAATACTTATATGACTGTTTACAAGAGAAAAACATGCTCTTTATCTGTCTGTAGGAAATATATCATGGCACATCTTAGTCAAAAAACATACATATTCAAAAGTGTATGATCCAGATGTGATGCATGCGTTTATTATGGTGTGATTAGTTTAAAAAAAATAAAAATGAAATGAACTCTTAGTGATGATCGGCATAGAATGGAAACATAATAATAATTAGAAGAAGAAAAAAAAACGATATATATATATAATACAAATGATTCCAATAATAAAATGTTGTATTTATAAGGCACAACAACAAGTGTTTTAGAAAAATAGTGCAATTATAAAATAGTAAGCTCTGCTTTATGAATCCATTTGATATGTGCCAGGATCTAGTCTAAAACTGTTACATTCTTCCTCTGAAATTCCTCTGAGAATTAGGAAGCTTTATAAACACGGGCGCAGGCCTCTATTAGAGACAAATATAGATTTGTATATGTCTTCTGTTATATGTAGTACAACAGATTTGCATCAGTTTTGCTCTTTCTATCTCTAGAGTTGGACAAAATCAGACCGCTTTAAACTTCACCTCACTGATGAACTGATAGCCAGCCATAAAACATTTGAAAGGAGTTGCATGTCCCTAAGTACAACATTTAAATATGGACTGAATTCTTCACATGAATGTCAGTGTGACGTTGACTTATACCTTAACTTGACCTTAACAAAGCAAACATCTTACCGTAGCCAAAATTACTTCAACTAGGACTTAATAAAAGGTGTGTTTGTAGGATATGTACACATTTGAGCTTTTACAGCTTTGAAATGTCAAAATGTCTGACGTCCATTTGACAGAGAAGATACAAATAAATAAATCACTTGTTTGTTCTTTCCCAGTCGTGTATCTGTCAGTGAGCTAACTAACCGATTCTGGACCCTGCTGTAGTTTCTCATGTTCCTCATGGTTACTGAACTCTCCCACTTTCATTCATTTACTTCACGATCACCACTCACTTGCAATGTGTTTACTGTCTGTGAACTGTTGTTGCTCTCAGTACTGTGACCACTGTGTTCAGAGGAGGGGGAGGACATGTTAATATTGCAGCTTTGTATATCGTTTAAGAAATGAACCCCTACTATTAGCTCCATAACACGGCAATAATATGCACAATTCCACCAAAGTGCTAAAACTCTCAGAGTGGGTCAACATAACTCTGCTATCTTATAATGTTCACATATGGTGTCTGTAGCTCAGGTTACGTATTGTAACCCTAGTTCTATAAGCACATACAGTATAGAAGGGTAACAGTCAGTTGCGTAGCTGCCTTGGGGTGCACACAGATTTTGGTAGGCTTGTCCTGATTGGCCGGCTACATCTATGCAATTTCAGTGGGACAAGTGCATGTGATTGAGTATTACCCAAAGAGTCCAGTAGAGGGTGCATGTTACCCACATTTGTGTCTACTGTAGCACTCATGTTAACCTATAATGTTACTATGTTAGTTTGTTATTGGACTGCATCACCATACAGAGAAGTCTTTGTCAAAACATCAACACTGTAACATATTCACTTTCTGTGGATTATATTAGAACTTTTTTTTTTTTAAATCTAAGTTTAGCTTTTAAGTTTAAACACATTGTACCTTAAAGCCCATAGTTTTGTTTTCAACAACTACAAGGTACCTCAGTCTGCTTCTGATATGACATGTCACCCCCCTCTTCATGTGTCGGTACTGTATGTGTTTGCTTCTTCAATTCTGCCTGCCGACTACCATACTGTATATACTAAAATATGCAGTAGTTTACCCACTACTTGGTGGCCACTATCAAACTGTTTATTCACATTTAAAAAGATGTTTAATAGCTTTCCAACCATTACAGCCTGCAGGGCAGACCCGTTTTCTCTCTGTGTCCGGTACTCACACAGAGCACATGTTAGCTGAGCTTAGCTAACAGCTATGCACGAGCCCTGCTTCTCGCTTAAAGATAGCATGCAGAGCATCTGAACTGTAAGTGTAGGAAAAATATGTATGATTACTATTCCATGAGGAAAAAAAGACTTAGTCTGCACACTGATTACTACAAATATCCTATATTTCTTCAAGATCCTCTCAAGGTCAACATTCATGTGATTTAAAGGTGGCTGTATACAGGGCAGTCTAAGACATTACCCAACCCATCAATAATTGTTGGCAACCTTTATTAAATCTCAGTTTGGGAAGATGAAGTAACATGTCCTCATTGTGTATCTTTTATTGGAAAATATATTCACAGTTTTGTTTTGGTTAAGTTAACACTAAAATATGTTGCTAGCAATAAATAAATAAAATCACCTTTCCTCTCAGTTCTTCTGTAGTCTGACATGTTTTTGCAAAGTATATTAAATAATAAAACTGCACCAATTCATGCACTATTATTGTGAGTATTTTGAAAGAACAAGAACATAAACAGAATTTGTATTTATGTAAAGCCTGTTTAGTTCAAATTCACTAAGGTTACCAACAATTCTGGAGGGCACAGACCATGAACAAAATGATACCTCTGCCACATAAACAGAAATAACTCTTATTATACCTTCACCATTACTACACAAAACAACATTTTCCTAAAAGAGGCCTTTACAATATTAAATAATCATAATCTCTTCATGTTTTTTTACAAATGTTTGGGAGCTTGCAATATTCAGTGTACAGACTTCCTCTCATTTTCCTTTATGCTGCCTTGCTGAGGGGGGGTGAGTTCTACCCTCACCTCCTGGCTCACACCTGCTCACCATATGCAGTTTTTTTAAGAGAAACACGACACCTCTGTGTTCCGTGACCTTTAACATCTCCTCTTGTTGGCATTGATGATGCACAGTAATCTGTGAGCCAGTGAAACAGTAATCAGAAGAAATCCTCTGCTGCTTTCTTTCTGTTATCATCAGCCAGACAAGGGGGATTCAGAAATGCGTGCAAACTCATAATCTCCGACTGACCGATGCTTGGCTCAATCATGGATCATGGATCACAGACAGATGGTGCAGTCTGGTGTCGGGTTTCCCTTAAATAATAATTGTATTCCATGACCTCGGCATGTCATTGAGGAAAGGCAGGCTTTATTAAAGTAGTAGCTGAACTAACGAAAAGCAAAAGAGAGCAATTTTCAAGAGAATTAAAAAAATGGCAGACTGTTCTTACGATTTCGTTTTTCAATCTGGATGATTCATTTCTTTTGGCTATTTGTCACCTTTAATTTCTTTCCATGTCCTTCACTTCCTTTTCCTCTTCCTTTCTTTCACATGTTATTCAAACATGTTCTATCATTGTTTCCCTTCCATCTGTTCTGACTTGTTTATTCTTGTTGAAGGACCTGGATAAGACCCAGACTGGGATCATGCGTCACCACACGAGCATCAGTGAGCTGAAGAGGAGCTTCATGGAGTCGGTGCCAGAGCCTCGGCCCAGTGAGTGGGACAAACGTCTGTCCACCAACTCGCCTTTCCGCACAGTGAGCATCAACGGCCAGCTGCAGCCAGCGGTGAGTCCTGCTGCCTGGGGAGGAAACTCTGCAGACATGCTGTTGTTTCTCCTCACTAGACACCAGAAGATACACTGTCAGCTCAATACATAGAGCCTGACAGTATAAAGCTTCCATGTTGTTAAAAGTGTGTTTTAATGAGATAGCTATGCTAGCTTGCCCTGCTTCAAACCTTAAGCTGTGTCTCAAATCGCCTACTTCTGCACTTACATGTGCTATTTTGAGTAATGCAAAGTATGGCAAAATACACAACGGTCATGGTCAAAGTTCAGTGTGGATCAATGGACACTAGAAATAAGAGTTATGTGGGTTTTTTGAATATTTAACTAATGTAGTCTACACTATGCTTCTATCACAAAGAAGCCACCATTCATTTTAGAGGGGTAAATTAGCAGTCTGTAATGATTTGGTACCACAAAGGATCGTGGCTAACAGCTAACAGCCGCAACAGTGAGGGCACAGCAGCCATGTGCGATTTGAGACGACACTTCACAAAATTCACGCACTGCTTTAGTGTTCACAGTCTTTACTGCATTACTGAGATATAGCTTAAGTAAAGGCAGTGTAGTTCACCTGAACCAAGTCTTGGTTTAAATATGGTATGCTGGCCAACAAAATAGCTGTATTGTATTATTTAAAAAAAATATTTACAATTCCCTGTTTTCATTCAGAATGCTCTATGCATATTCTGGAAGTCCCAGGTTATATGTTCTGGGATTCACCTAAACTGTGAGCTCAGATTAGCAGTCATCACAGTTTAATGTTTGCACTGAAACTCCTGGACTGAGCAGATCAGTACCCTCAGATTTTGTATTTGTTCATTTCATTTAGAAATCTGTGCTCATAGATTCTCTCCCCTTTTTCTCTTTTACGCAGTTAAGCCCTGCTTTCCACAGCATCTGTTTTTCATAAATGTCTGGGCCCGTATTCACAAACATTCTTTAATACTCTTATAGAGCTCCTAACATATCCTTAGATTCTAGTAAGGAGTCAAAGTTAGGGAGTGATTTAGGGTCTGTGTTAACTTGAGAGTAGGATGCTCCGAGGTGTGTGTGTGTGTGTGTGTGTGTGTGTGTGTGTGTGTGTGTGTGTGTGTGTGTGTGTGTGTGTGTGTGTGTGTGTGTGTGTGTGTGTGTGTGTGTGTGTGTGTGTGTGTGTGTGTGTGTGTGTGTGTGTGTGTGTGTGTGTGTGTGTGTGTGTGTGTGTGTGTGTGTGTGTGTGTGTGTGTGTGTGTGTGTGTGTGTGTGTGTGTGTGTGTGTGTGTGTGTGTGTGTGTGTGTGTGTGTGTGTGTGTGTGTGTGTGTGTGTGAGGCATTTCATGTGGTGCTTGGCGGAGTATGCTGCAGTAGATCATCACTGTGCAGCGTTTCTTTATGAGCAGTATATTGAATGGCACCTGGAGGCTATGGCCTGTATGACTGATGACACGCAGCTTCACCAGATTGTGCTTAGGGATCAGTATGCTTCAAACCAACAAGTTTGGATTAAGTGTTTCAGAACATGTAGCGAATGACTACTTTCATATTCCGATGTAAAGCTTGCAGCCACCAATAAGGATACAAAGTGATGAAACTACAAATGGATGCAAAGGCCCATACTTCTCCACTAAAGCTACCTTCACATGACCAGCGGGAAAACTGCTCCCTGCTGATGTTGCTGTGGTTTCCCTGTGGAGAGAGCAGTGCCACCAGACTCAATTGTCAATGCGCTCAAAGTTTTAATTATTCTGACCTACCAATACCTACCTGCTCTATAAAACGGCACATCCTAGAAGGTGAAGTAACCATCAAAAGCTGTCTCACCGCTCTGCGCCCTACCTCGCATTGAGCAGAAAGCAAATCGCTTATAATGTGAAGGCAGCTTTATGGTTGTGTGGAAAATGAAAAAGGAGAGATTGTGAGGTATTAAAGCAGGATGGAGTTTTCCCTCTCCTGTAGTGTGCTCTATAGGGTTTTTTGTGCATGTCAATGGACCCCCCCCCCCCCTTGCGGGACAGCTCTAAGCTGTTGACCAATCACAACAGTGCCGTCCAGCTAACCAATCAGAGCAGACTGGGCTCTGGTTTCAGACAGAGGGTGAAAAGAGGTGCTGCAGCACAGGCAGTATGAGAAAAATAAAGAGCTTTTTGAACATGAAAGAATATCACAGTAGAGGCACAAAGCTTGAACATGAACCTTATAATGAGCATAATATGTCCTCTTTAAAATCATACATACTTTCTCTCTTCACCAATCACCAACATTTTGTAAGTTTTTGAAGGTTTTTGAAAAGCCATAAAAATGGCACAAAAACACATCTGGCACAAAAACACATCTGAAAAACTCCCTACAGGGAGAAAACGTTTTTCAGCACTGTTGACTTTATTTGTTTGAAGCATACTCCTGTAGGATCTCCCCCCCCCCTTTAACTCTAATGTCTTGGTGTCATGGCTCTGTGAATGGCTGCGGCTGCTTTGTCATTGTGCTTGATCTGCTGATCAATCCCATGGCTGGGTTCATCCTGATAATGTGTTTGCATGACTCTTGTGCCTGATATGATCAGTGAAGGACTGAAGAGAAAAAGAACACAAGATAACAAGCTACAGACCAATGACTAGAAGCCAGAGCACTGACCCCCCCCCCCCCCCCCCCCCCCCCCTCCCTTCCTCCTCATCTGTCTCACCCTCCAACCTTCTCTGTATCTATCCCTCCCTGGATGTCTTTATGTGTTTTTCTGTGTCTATCTATTGTACCTCTGTCCTCATGTTCTCCCATTCCCCTTTAAAGACTGGCCCTGCTCCCCCAGTCAGATCCCCCCCACCAACTCCATCCTCTTCCACTCATCCTCCTCCATCCTTCCCTGCGCCTTCCAACAATGACACTGAAGGTCAGAGAGGATCTCCGTCCTCCGACCTGCCAGTGTTGCCCTCTGGCTCTCGGCTCACTTCTACCCACGACTTAAAGACACAGTTTCTATCCTAGACTCGAAGTCATGCACAAAAATATTCCTTTATATTACTCCAAAATCTAGCCATAACAGCACTTTTCTTGCTGAAAGCCTGAGGCACAATTTTAGTAATTTCATATTATTGCTGAATGCTAAGAATTCTGATGACACATAAGATAGAACAGTAGAAATAGTCTCTGTTGCATCACAATGGTTAAAATTCCCACTGTCTCCCTGAGCAGTTAGATTCTTTACACAGATGTTGCCTTGTGTGTAATTGTACATCCCTACCATCCCTATTGTGTGCAGTGCAGAATCACCTTAAAATGCTTTTCATGGTGAGCTCCTCCAGAGCTCCCGTCATCTGAGCTGCCCAGAATGTTGACAGATTGGTGGTATTTTAAAAAGCAGTGCAGAAAAAATATAGTGTTTTCTGGTGTTTCTTTCTTTCTTTTGGCATTAAGAAGACTTTGCACTGCCAACACTGTATGCACTAGCTATCAAACTAGCTGCCAGAAAATCCCCTATTCCCACTATGGAGCACATGTATTATCCTCAGTACACTCCTCTCTTCTCATTCTGCTGCTGCTTTGTCAGAGGGGTAGTGTCCTTTGGACATTTAGACATCAGGTGTTTTAGCCATGTTGCCAGTAACGAATCATTCAATAGTCTTCCTGCAAATATTTATAGTATATCATTATTACGATTAGCAGCTGTATTTCTCCCTTCACTAAGTCCCACTCCTCTTTTTGCTACCTGTGTAACTTCTCTATTCTAACGCTGCTTGTGAGCAGTTTTTGGAAAAAGCAGAAAAAATGGAGGTCAAACAGAGGTCGACCAAAATCAATCAATCAATCAATCTAATCTTTACATAAATAGCACTTTTCGTACTCAAAAGGTAACACAAAATGTTTCACAAAACAAACGCATAAACAAAAAATAATATTACCCCCCCTCCCAGGTAATAAATACCAAGTAACTTCTGACTTTGTGATTGATAAAAACATTTAAAACCAATAGAGATCAATAAACAGAGGACTGAATAAAACAAGAATTTAAAAAAAGAATAATAAAACAAAAGAATACAAAAACAAGAATAAAACAAATAAAAACATATCAATTAAAAGCTGAATTAAAAAAGTGGGTATTCAGTTGGCACTTTAAATATTACGTTCTCTGCCACCCTCAGGTCTTAACAAAATTGGCTTTTTTGTAGTAGTTATGACTGTAGATTTTGCCAGCTGAGATATTATTACTACATTTTACCACCTCTAGCTAGCCATCTGATTAGCTTAGCCAGAATCATTTCAAGGTCTCCCGCAGATGAAGTTTAGAACAAATTCACAGAGGTTGACTCAACAGTTCCATTGAGAATCCTACTGAAAGCTGTTAAATACTGTGTTTGATGGTTTAAACTTGGTTTCATGCTTCATGATAGTGCCTGGTAATGACGCAAAAAAATAGGCTAAAGCTACACAACCTAGCAAACAAATAAGCATCCTCATCTGAAGATAATCTGTATAGAAGTCACGAAATAAATGAACATCGTTCTGCTATTGCATTGTAGAGCTAGTTGTCTCTATACTGCATAAAGAAATGTAAGTTAAAAAAAGGCATTAGGAAACAGTTTTTCTTTGTAACACATTGCCGAAATGCATAATAAGTCACTCGACAAGGGTGAGGATGAGTGGATATCTTTTATGGATATCTTAACTACAAGATGTTAAAGCTGGGCAGGGATGGCATTGTTAATATGGAGCATCATCAAAAAAGAAAATAACATGTTATAGTAATTCAGTTAGCAAAATGAATAGATCATACATGATGCCGTAAGTCAAAAAAGGAAAATGTATTTATAAAGCGCTTTTCACAGACATAGTCACAAAGTGCTTGACAAAGCATTAAAACATTATACAAATAAAGAAGAGTGCTAAAAACACAATACATTATGAAAAACACAATCAAAACACAATACACAATCAAAACACAATCAAAACATAAAGTTAGTAAGCCAACTAACTGAAAGAGTTCTGATAAGGCATAGATGTCATCAACTTCACCACCTCCATCAAAGT